CAAACATAAGCAACTGTTAAGCAGAAATATTGTCTATTAAATCACAGTACGCTAAACACACCCGCGACACCCAGAAATTGCAAAAATTGTTCACGTCTTTTCTTAACGATGTTAACATGACTACTTTGTCTAGAATGCTAACATCGCTGACGACACGTGTTGACTTTTTATAAAATATCAATGTCGCGGGTGTGTTTAACGTGTTGTATTCGTGTAGAAAGGGATCAAATTCTTTTTTTTTAGTAAGCCTATTGTCCAGTTGTAACCAAATACTAATTAATTTATTCTTGTTTTATTATTCATTTATTTAAACAATCTGGAATGGGCGTGGAGTTGAATATAAATACAAAAATATTATAGTATAGAAAATAACGTCCGCTTCGTAGCTCCTAGAATATGAAAAAGTAGGTCTCCCGTTTGATTTGTTTATTCGTCCGTTTGCCCATGGAGATTATAGTTATTAGACAGAGAAATTCCGAAACTACTGAATCGATTATGGCAAAATTTTAGCCGCATTTTAAGATTACCATGACCATGACAGTGCTAAAATTCAGCATGCTTTTTTAATGTGGATTGACACCTGACTTATATACGTGATCACAAAATTTTCAGATTAGGGTAGACTATGAAAATATGTCAACAATTTGAAAACGTTAAAATCAAACTGGAAAGCCACGATTCAAATGATTTATTGTTGGAACAGGGAAATCAAAATAGTTTTTAAAGTGACCATAGTTTTCTCCATTTTACCTACTCTGGGCAAAAATTTGAAGTTTTACTCGGAGGGATTAATCGAAGAAAGAAAAGATATTTCCATAACCTAGGCTAACTTGAAAACTTTTTCGTCCGTTGTAAACAGAGATTGGGTAATAAAATGTTTGGAAATTTTAAGAAAACTGTAGCAATTTACAACTTAGTTTGTTATTTTCTTTCCATTCCTATTTCTTCTCGTTCATTCATAATTTTTTATACCCTTTTCTCGATTTATTTTTGTTCTATGGTGGAGTGCGCCCAAATGCCAAGTGGTAAACCCCAAGGTTGGAAAATCGCCCCTAAATCAAACATAAAATGTGGAAGTCAAAAATCGTTTAATCTACTATTCTGGCAAAAAAAAGAAAGAAGCTGTGACTAAGTGCACTTTGGGCAGGTTGAAGATCCCTTAATTTTCAGCTACAAAAAACTGCCTATTTTTCAAAAGGAAATCAAATCTAGCGTTCCAAATCAATGCAAATATTTGAATATCACAAATTTAAAATAATAAGAGAAAGAGAAATCTGAACTCCATAGACAGGTTATAACACGCACTCCACATTTCTATGTCCAAAAAACCTGCTGCATATTGTATTCATTACCCGCTCAGCTATTTAGGCAATGACAAAACCGCTAACAGTAATTAGAAAATGTGTGTTCCGCTGTCACCACACGAAACTGTGCCTTTTTATTTCAGTTAAGTTCAAATTCTTTTGAAGTGGTAACGATGACTTAATGAATATTAAAATTGCTTAAATTAATTACGTCACATTGAAAAATTTTTACCAACAAAGAATTTACATGCTATTAAATGTGTTAATTAAACTATCAGACCTCCAATAAAATATTAAAGTCCTCTTGTTTTTCGAGTTCACAAGGATATGAAATTAACCGCAACTTTTCGTGGTCCTTTTTCTCAAAATGGACCAACGTTTGGATCAGTTTAAATGGCATAAATGAACTATTAGCAGTTTCGAATGAGAAATTAACAAGTATGCCATAATGTAATATTTAAATAAAAGCAGGACCCAGAAACAGTTAAAATCTTAACAAGAACTGTGAATTTACAAACAAACAAAAAATTGACACCTTCATAACATCTCAGATTAGAAAACCATTAATAATTAATTATGCTTGTGGGTACGATTATATTTCGTTTAAACAATGACTATTTGATGAAACTACAAACTAAATTTAACCTAGGTACCCTTAAGCTCATCACGTGGTCAAACCAGACAAACAACAAGTGAAGCATTAAAACCAAATCGAATCTGCATTACTACCATTACCAACCCTGAAAACTACCAACTTAAATATTGGCATTCGCAATTCCCTAGGACGGGCTGCCACCCTAACTGAAGTGGCACAGGGTTGTCTATGTTTAACGATTTTTCGTGATTTATTTTATTCGCAGCGCGAATTTTGAATTCAAACTGGGACACCACAATACGTTTAAAAATTAATATTTTATCGGTATCAAAAAATTGGTACTCACATTCACTGTGCCTCAAACAGCATGAACGTTCTATCTATCCCATAAAATGGGAAAAAACCCTCATTTATGTTTGTTATTTGGCCATCATTTATTCTAATACTAGGTTGTTTAGTGAAAACCGGATTTCACTTGCAAAAAGACGTTCTCAATTAAAAGCAACATTTTCAGTAATTATTATCAATTGGTTGGATAAACTCTAGAGCGTGAAATACGTGGAACAAGTTCGGGTTTATTATTTGCATCAGTTGAAACACGTTATCACGTTAACATAACAAAAAATTCATTCACCACCACGTTTTTTTATTTAACACAAACTTCAGCAAATTATTGTTCCATTTGAGAAATACACATTGATAAATGTGACTCGGTAGTACTTTCTATTATTTAAATGTTTTTATAGATGATACGGTTCCTTTCATTGTTCAATTAAATTATGTACATTGAAATAGAAAATATATAGATTGTGCTCCTGGGGCCAGGTTAAAATAAACAAGCAATAAACTTTCGTTGTGAAAGTTGACGAAAATAATTGACAAACAAATATTAAACAATATTTTTCTTAAAGGACAAAACAGAAAGCTGAGTTTGTGTTATAAATCATGGGTAAACTAGATTGATTTTATTCCTTATAAAGCTGCTCTAACTGGTAACAAAAAGAAACCAGTTTCAAGAATGAATGAATTTAAATTTTTAGCATCGTCGTGTTCTTATAAGTCTTGATAATTAACTATCTGTCTGTCCAGTGTGGACTAATAGTATTCGAAATAACGTAAACTCGTTGCTTCTTTTGTGACACTATTTACATATTCAATTGGAAACAGTACTGTGGAATATTTAGAATCGTAGACCCGACAGAGTACTAATCATGCAAATCTTGGATAGTGATGAGTATGTAGTGAGAAGTGCATCAGACAGAAGTTAACAGCTAGTAGTTTGAGTCGAACTCAATAAGCATATATCCCTCAATACACTAAAGTGGATATGATCCCATTCTAGCCGATGATAGCGAACGTGAAGTATCAAATCAAAAGAACTGTAGTAAAAGACCGGCGTAGGTAGACAAAGTCATGACACAATACAGGCCAATTTCCTGGATACAAGCGTCGCGACAATAGAAACGTTTCAAGTAAAATAGATTACCATTATCTCAAGGGGACATGCCGCTACAGTATCAATAGACGAGCAAGTAGTAAGTATATCCCGTACAAACACCCCAGGATTCCGCCCCTATTGTAAGGATAAAGTATCATTTCGGGAGCAATTCAAGACATGTTGTCATCTCGGTCCGTCGGATAGTCTAATGACAGAGCTCGCAACTAGGGGAACATCAAGATCGAATGCCCAGATAATAGGCTAGTTTTGCCCGATTTTACAAAAATCTCCTGCATTATACACACAAAGAACATGAATTGTGAAATTAGATCGTGACTTCGCGTCAGATCCTCAAACGCCAACCTAATTAAACCCGATCTGATCGGTGTTATCGAGTTGGAATCTTAAGAAGAGGGCTCCAACAACGCTGACGGTGCTGCTGACCGGAATCAGCCCGCTTCCGCCGGAAAGTTCCGGGTCATTGCGTCCGGAGGAGCCTGCAATGGAACGAATTGTTATGTGGAGAGTTCTCCGAATGTATAAATTATTTTTTGTTGATGAATGGCTAAGAACGGTAGCCCCGGTTAAAATCCCATGTTCCTATTACCGCAACTGAGTGAACGTTTTGATTTATACTAATTGGAAATAGCTCACAAGTTTCGCCCGGAGCGGCCCGAAAACGTACGTGTTTAATTGACCGATTTCGGGACCCACCTACAGTGGCGGATTGGGAAATTTCGGCGGCCCAAAGCGACCGACCTAAAATAATTATTACACAATTAAACACACACGACACCCACCAACTCGAGACACCGCAAAAACTGTCGCCCGACACCTTGCATTGTTACGAGAGGCCGACGACAACCTTTACCTACAAAATTTAAGGGGTACGCTCAAGGTTCCCCAGACCAAACAACGATCACCTCCGTTTAACACGATAATAGTCTTCGGGATGATCAAGATTGATTTGGCTGGACTCGAAAATTCAAGCAAATTAAAAAAAACGCTTCACTACTTAACTATATATAGCATATATGACGACGTGGTAACGACTTAGTTAGTTTACATACATAAGTAGAAACAGTTCGTTGATTAACTCTTGAGTTTCTTCATCGGGCGATCATCAACTCCGGCCAAGATCATATCCCGTTACACTGGTATCTGGAGTACCTTAATCCCTCGCCTTAATTCCGGTCCAAAGTGACCGTTTAGGCGAGTTTACCTATTGTAAACTCTGCATAAATTTTAGCTGTCCCTTTTTAAATTTCAATCTTAAAACCCATACAAATAGATAAGTCAGAAACTGGACCTGTAAATAAAAATTAAAGAAGTCAGACAATGTTGTAGCAATTATAATAAGTGAATTGTACTAAATCAGCGTACTTTTAGAGTTAAGGTGTCGGATTAGTAAACGCCCGACCTTGACCGGAGTTAAGGTTCTCCGTCCTCACCTAAAGTCTTCGCAGAGTCTTGTATTGTAGCTGTTTTCCGTTTAAAAACCACTACAACCATAACTAAACTAAAATTTTCAAAAATTCGTCAAATGGCCTTGTCGAGTCCGCCCCTGCCTCCGCTTCACACGTTTCTGCCCGAATACCATGCCCAAGCCCATAAATCTCTAATCCGGTAGCGTGCATTTAAAGATGTTTCTCCTTTGTTCCAGGTTAACCGACCCTTAACGATGAAGAAAGAGGGCATCCAGACGAGGAACCGAAAGCTGTCGTCAAAAAGTAAAAAGAAGAAGAGCGGCGGTTCGTGTTTGTCGCTCGGTGGTATGATGGGTGATATGATGAAGCCTCTGGATAGCGGTAAAGGTGGTTTCGGAGGCGGCGGTTTCGGGGGTGGAATGGGTGGCGGACACCCGCATCTGAACGCAGCTTTACACCCGCACCACGCCATGAGCCATTGGTACCAACACAGTACGCACCCTCAAGGGTTCGTTTCGGGTCCGCCGCCCCCCGCACCTCCGCCCACGGCGTCCTACCATCACCACATGAGTTCTTTGAGCGCGGCAGGGCTCGGACTAGCATCGAATGGGATGGTAAGTTGTAAATTTTTTGTAGTTTATCTAGTTCTGGTTATAGGGTTTTTTATTTTTTGGTAACAAGTGTGCGTCGAGATGAAGTTGGCTGAATAATATTAATGTCGTTGTCTTTTTGTTTCCAGACTAGTTGGCGATCGGAATACACGTGATAAAATGGAGTAGCCTGAAAAACAAGGAATTTAATGTAAGAATTGTAGATATTAACGTTAAGGATTTAATTAATTGAACGTGATCATAAGAAAAACTGGTCGTCTGTCATTATGTACATTTTATTTAGGTTTTTTGTAAATTCGTTGGGTGATTTCGTGACCAGTTTGTATGTATAATTAAGTACAAAGATGAAAGCGTTTGTAATGTATTGTATATAGATGTTAGTTTGTTTTAAGGCATTTTTAATACAAGTGATGTACATAGAACAAAAATTTTAAAGACATGTGCAATCTTCACGTTATTATAAAGTATTTATATGTGTGAACGAAGAGATATATGCTGGTCCGAAAGTCACGCTTGCGTTAACGTTCAAATCAGACCGCTTCGGACCAGGTTATATAGACTGCAAATAATGTAAATAATGAGAAACAAGAACATTTTATGAGTTGTATGAAAGCCGACCAATTTTATTATTAAATGACAGTTTTTAAATTATTATTCATGTGCATAAGCATTTTTATTAAAAAATTCTAGTTTAAAACACGCGCACCCTGTAGAGAATTCCGGCCGGGGTTTAAAACAGACTATTTTTAATATATGATTTCAAGTCACAGTACAAATTCGTGTTAAGTTTTACATTTTTAACGTTGCCGATTCGATACAGGGTGCTTCCAAAGCCATGTTACAATGCGGCGTTTTCGTTTAGACGCTGTGTTGATATTTGAATCGATTTTTCGATTTGTAATTTAAGTGAAATAGCATAATTAAAATTTTCAAAAAAATGTAAATAAAATTCGATGTATGTATATGCTCTTTGTGTGATATATAAAATATTCAAACCATACATATGTGTTTTATTTCTGACATTCTGACGGCAGATTAGGTGACGTCCACGACAAAGACAGTATAATTTGCAGGTAAGTATCTAGTTGGTGATAGTTATGAAACTATAATGAGCAAAATTTTATAAAATGCGGAGGCACTTCCTATAGAAGTGTGAGCGACAAATGAGCCCAATCTGATAACAGACGCGGAAATGGAATAATGTATAATTTCCAGCATGATTTTTACGTGCACGTGTGTAATTAATTTAAATGTGCTAAACGCAACGTTCCAATCAGTGCCGATGGGACAAAGACACCTTCACTTAGCTACCGGCCGGTGACCCTATTAAACTCTAACAAAGCACATTTTGTTTTATTATTTTTGGTCGGCTAAATTTTTACATATTTATGAGCGGATGCCGAGTGCATATTTTAATAGTAGTCGACTTGCATAAAGTCAATATTTAACCGAAAAAAGTAAAAAATTGCACAAACTTACGAATTAGTAGTCGAGAAACAGCCCGGTGTGTGTCGAGCAGGTGGAAGTGATCAGATGCTCGAATAATTTAAAATAAATTAAATTAAGACTGATTGATGTATTTATTTCTTTATGGTGGGACATTTCATTTAACCGTATTGGCTCATCGTGTAATTCGTAATCGGTGCAACTAATCGAAAATTCTTTCATTGCTCAATTACGGGAAGGTAAATTCGTGGATTTCGTTCAAGACGTGGATAAAGCTGTTCAGTGAACCGAAAAACTGGGTTTTAAGTGCATTAGGGGCGATACATGGGCGACAGCGGACACGCCGGACCTCGCACCTCACTGATTTTACTGGATTTAAAGCGAAATTGATTCTGGGATTTGGGAAAGCTGGCCGGTGCCCGTTCGCCCGGATTGAATACAAACAAGCTGCTACTAAGTTTTCACAGAACTTAAAATTTCACTTTGAAATAAGTAAATATATTTTCGGTCGGTTTGCTTTTCATGGGTAGCCACAACTCGAAATAAATTTATGCTATAACAAAAGCAGTTCTTAATCGATAACACTGTCTCCGTCACGACCTGACTGCTCCTGATAACACCTCCGATCCAAATCTACTCGGAAATTATCATATTCTAAACCTTTTCAATAAAATAAAGATATGATCTTACCATTATGCTTTTAATAAGGCGGAAATGGGGAATGAATAAGCAAATAACCTTTCAGGTTTTTTTAAGCAGTTGCTTAGTATAATACCGTTCTTAATTAAAATTTAATAGTTTCACAGCTCATCACTCGAGATCTTGAATTTCTTAACGGCACCGTTTTCCATTGTTAGTAAATAAAATAAACAATAAACCATGTACATAATAACGTTGTAAAGATAAAAGGTAACCATGACAAATTACAAATGAGATATTATCATAAGATCGGTTGCTGATGATTATAACGTTGTGTTTGGACAGGAGGAGGGACGACTATTACCACTGCTTAAAATTAACCTTTTCTGCGTCTAGGGTATGAATTTTAAATTTCTTAGAGATGAAAGGAATCGTTTAAGAGATAAGAGGTGTAATCTTCAGCAACAGAACCGAAATTAAACTATTACTTAACACGTTAACTTTAAAAAAGTGTTAAATAAAATACGTACTTTATTTACATTAACTTTAAATATATGTTATTCGCGTAGCAGAAATATGAAGATCTGTTAAAATGTTTACACTGAGTTAAACTCTTCGGTTAGAGATGGGAACTTAGCCGCAGACAAGGTGATAAGAGTCATTTTAATTTACTTTTGCAGCAGAAGCAAAAAGTGAGCTGATTTATTACTCCATTTTCCTGTCAAAGTACTTGTTTCATGGAGAAATAAATCATTTCTATATTATTATCATTATTGATATTTATTCTTAGATGACGCAATTTAAAACTACTTTGACATTTAAATAAATAAAAAAAAATACACCAGATCAGTCATGCTGAAAGATAAGTAGTACCATTCAAAAATTAGTAGTGGGGATAGCTACTAGATAAATGTGAAAAGAATAGATCTGAAATAGTCTGGCCAGGTTTTCGGCACCCTGGCTATAATATAAATATTCATAAAAATTCACAAACACTCGTTTCAAAAATACTAATTATATAAACACAACACCGTCTAATTAGAGACCAGTGTACGCACTTGTGGCATATTTCCCCAAGTGACAGAAACTAATCGCAGAATTATTACTTATTATAATTATTAATTACGCCCTGTTTGTTACAATTTATCGCTGTTTTGCAGGTGTAAGAAAAATTAATCCCCATCGTACGTTAAAAAACGCAACCATCTGTCAAAATCCAGCTAAAAAAATGTACTCGCTCCTATGCATATTTGCATACACACATACGTGCAAAATTCAGCTGGTGGGTCAACTTCTTTTGGAAATTCCTCCTCGAAGAGTTTGCCTCCTGCATTATCTCCCCCAAATTATCTGCAATTTTTTCGACTTCTAATTATCATAGCCGTCAGTTTCCCCTTTCGTAAATTATGTGCACAAAAACGGACACGGGCCTAAGTGTGGCAATTTAATAGGAGTTTTATCGAAATGTGTAGGACAAGAACCTTAGATGTCATATAAGTAGTGGACAGGTGAATGCATGCACTAATTATACTCAGGTGTGTTTAAGACGCGTGCCGGCAGATGTCTGATTCACCTGCCGAAACAATTCGACATTGAAAAACATCGAATGTTTGTTTGTCTTTTTGTACCTACATTCTCGCCAATTACGGGATAAATCTTTGAGATTTGTGTACAAGTTCGTTTCATTATTGCGTTATGCTTAGTGTTGGTTGTATATGCGGGCTTTAATAACCAGTCATGACGGAACATACCATTAGAGAGCAATTTGCGGTTTTTTCTTACAGATTATTTTGTCAAAGATAAGGATTATGTTCTGCTTTTTATGCACAAGTACGTTTAGTTATTTATTTATGTGGTCGTTAGTCGCTTTTTCAGGCATTCGTAGGATTTTCCTTCATGCAAACGCCGAACAAAATCAGTTTAAAATATAAAATTTATTATTCATGCTATAAAAAATATAAATGCTTAAAATTCATACTGCTGTTTCCACATTCCGTTAAATTCGTGCAAACTGTATTCTTTTTTCAAAAATTGTAACGCTATTTAAAACCCAAATCTGAATCAAAATGTGTTCGATCACACGGTGTGTGATTATCCCGACGAAGTCACTATAGTGCAAAGGTCAAAATTTAACTGTCAATGTGAATGTAGCTTTTGTAACAGGTTTCTAAACACTTTGATTAATTAGCTTAATGCAGTTGTTTTCATGCAGGTATGCCATACATAATAACGACGATCCTAATAATAATAATTACTTCTTCCTTTTCTATATACATATATGTTTTGCTGCGTGTTTAATACTCTGACATGGTTTTCTTTCTAAATACACCGAACTGTTTCTTTGTGAGCAGCCATCATTATTTTGTTTTGTTTATAACGGATTAATTAGCCCGAAAGTGACCTTTCTGTACTTTTTGTCATTTGGTGGCTTAATTAAAGAGTCTCACGTCTACATAAATCTCCCTAATTATCTCGTGCTAATCCTCTTCACTTGTAAAGCATCGGCCACTCTCTCATTATAGCCGAAGAAATAAAAGTTAACGAAGACGGAGAGAATCAGTTAAAAAATGATAAATAAGCTTTTAGTGCGGTGGCCAGTCGGGCGACAGCCGCTAATCCGAAATCTGTGACGAATCCTCGGAGAAAAAGTAATAGGGCATTAAACGGTCGATTATTGTAATAGTGTGTTTAAGGTCAAAGGTTTAGAATGATGAAGAGGACAAAATCAAATTATTACTCACTACTACAACTTTACTACACTTTTTTTTTTGCTTTTAAACAACTCGTAGATATGCGATTGTGCAAGATATATTGAAGGATGATTGAGTTAATTCTGAACAGTAAAAACGGCGTAACATTTCGAAATCTTCGAAAATTGTTACAAAATATAAGAAAAATATTTATTATAATTTGCTTTTGGAAGAGGATCAACTTGATACAGAAATTAAATGATCAACCGCAAAACTAGCAGTGTTGAAAAATTTTCTCATTTATCACGGTATTTTCTTCGATCATTTGTGCTGGTGTCAGATTAAAAACACAGAAATGATGTCTTTTCACTAATGTACTCCGAAATTATGGCCCCAAATTACGTGGGTTATTTATTAGAACATACAACTTGTAGGTATTGTGATGGATTGCCTATAATCTCATGTCTTAACAAAGAAAATTGTTAAAAAGGACCTGATATTGTTTCCCTCCAAAAAACAGGTGTCTCAAAAACTTAAATCACCTCTTTATGAAAAAAGAATGTTTTATTGTAATTCTTTAATCAAACAATGATCCTTGACAGAACATTATTTAGTGATGAAGCCTGATTTCATCCATCAGGATATATAAACTCGCAAAATATGAGGATGTGGAGACAGAAAATCCTCATTATTTTTTTTAAACACAAAAAAGTGGAGTTTTGTGTCGTTTCTCAAAGACTCACTTTCTTCAAAAATTAAGTTACAGCAAGATATCAGAACGGATATTTTCAGCATGACAGTGCAACAGCTCATACAACTTAAACAAGTTTGAAATTTCAAAGGGAATTTTATTACGAGCGTTTAGTAAGGTTTCACACAGACCATATCTATCCACCTCGATCACCTGATTTAACACCTTTATATTTTTTCTTGTTCCCGACTTTGAAAACACTAAAATTGAGAAATAGGCAAAAGTGTAAACACCTATCGCTGAAAGTTCTTACTCGACTATTTGTGAATATCAAACGAAGCTTAGGTATGTATTAAAGCTCGGGACCAACATTTCCAGTAATTGCCGCTAATTCATTTAAATACCTATGTTACTTATAAATAAATCATTTTAAGTCCAACGAGGGTTTAATTCTTGTTGATATAACCTAGCTTTCTAATTCCGGCCACAGACGGATATTTAGGTCAGATATTTAGATTATGTTGTGAAATTGAA